TATCATTATAAAATTGTAGCCCACACCAAGGTGTAAAATTTTATCTATGCATCTTTTTGCAGATATAAACCATCGTGATATTGCATACAAAACACCATATCTATTTTGGAAGGATAAAGAGGCGAGTGATCTTCCTAAGAATGGATTCATGCATCCAGGCACTTGAAAGCATGTTTGAAGGAGCCAACCTTACTGGAATAAGTGAATTTGCTTTTTTTGACTGACATGTGTTACGCAGCAATTTGTAAATTAAAGTTAGACATAAGACTGTATATTCATAAAAGTTAAAAGCTATTGGGTTCAGAGGAGCTTTGTTATGCCTGGGAAGAAGAAATGTCTAATGGTTAGTGTTGAATGTGAGAGATAAAATGTCACATGAAACTTGATAAAGTGGCTATTTGAATATTGTAATCAACATTTCTATTTGACAAAATCTCACAGAGCTCATGCCATAGATTAAATAAGAATTCAGTGATCTAGCAAAAATGCTATATGAAATACATATTTTAACACTTATGGTTATATTGGTACTTAGGTGTAAAACATAAGAAATCACCATTACTTGTAATACTTTTTTTCAGATCTACTTGCATTGCTCAAAGAACATCCAATCCTGATAAGCCCAGGGTACAAGATATTGTTCCAAGACAATAACTCCAGTGTAAGGAATGTTATTAGAGGGAAAAAAAGAAGAATCAATGTATTTAAATTGGATATTTCAAGAAGTTTGATACCTAGAGTTAATTAACTTTCCAAAATGATCTAATGTTCCTCTCAAACTAGAAAGATTTCTTTGCTATTGATTATACCTACTCACAGGCTTGCCTCTATCTCCAAAGGGGCTTCTGTCATGCCTGTGAGATTGTTTAATCACTTACCCATGTCAATTAAGGGCATGGTATCTATTTCAGTCTTCAAACGCAAAGTACGAGATTTGTTGGTATATCCTTTTTACTCTGTTGACAAGTACCTCAACCATCAATTTTAATTTACATTTTATCGTGCTCTAGTCGTGCTGTTTATGTACTCTAATATTGTTAGATCTCCTATATGTTTTTAATAATGCGACGTGATTTATTTATGTAAATTTAAGATGCGGAAGTTGAGTCATTTATTTTAACAGTGAGTAGATCTGATCAAAAGAAATGTTTTTTTCCTTTACCATTTTTCTGGTAAAATTAAAGTAACAAAGTTATAGCCCTTTGGAAGTTTGAGTACCGCCCTGCCTATTATATGCTCGTGTTTGGCGACAACGGATATAATCCGCCTGACCGGTTCATCGCATCGGAAACAAAAAAGCGAAAGAATTTGAAACGTTTATCACGATGTTTTTCGTCAGTCGATAACGCGTAAGTGAATAGTAGTGTGTTGCGTGGTTCAAACGAAATAAAAAATGGCACATGTTTACGAAAATGCTGAACTTGTGGACATGATTCTTATTTACGGGGGGGCAGTCTTTACAAAATGCTCCCGGATGCATCACGGATTTATGCGAATCGGTTTCCCAATCGAGTGCAACCAACCCCTCGTGCCTTTGTTAATGTAGTACAAAGGGCTCGTGAATCAGGTGACTTAAGACCTCACAGGTGAGGGCATGCTGCTCCAAGACCGCACGATCAAATACAGGTCCGCACTGAAATACTTGTCGGGAGGATACTTTATTAAACAAGGTAACATTTTTTTTGTATTTTTTTTTATTTTTACACACATATTTTGGTTTATCTTCCTTCTACAATCATTATCTGAAAATTAATGACTCAACTTCAAAGTCACCCTGTATATGAAGATATACATATCTATATGTATATTCAACCCATTCAGTGAAATGTTTATTTATTTATGACACTTTCCCATACTTGTTTGTACAAGTCGAATGGAAACTATTATTATTATTATTATTATTATTATTATTATTAGATATCCTTTCAGCCCTGTTTACATGGCTTGTAATTTAGAAAGTAGCATATAATCTAGTTAACGTCAAGGATAAAAAATTGAAGAAATGAATATTTCTAGATATTTTTGAACGAACCTATTGTATTTCTGTGGGTATACAATGTAGAATAAAAAATATTTATTTTATCAAGTAATCTTTTATTTATATTCTGCAAGTACCAACTGAAAAATATGATACATAAAATTGTTAAGGAATTCATAAATCGTATGTCAAAATACCTAAGTATCAGTAATCAAATGAAGTCTTTATATCTAAAATGTACAAATAATAACAGGAAATATGAACAAATATATAGTCAAAAAAACATATCCAAAATGAAAACCTACAATAGTGTTTTACAATAACCTTTTTAATAAAATCAAATTTACTTACATAAAATATATAAGTGGTTTAGAATGTTAATGTTTAAGAGGACAACTTTTGGTTCCATTTTAAGAAGAAAACTTCATATAATTGTGTCCTAAACGTCTTGACTTTTGAGTAACAGGGTAGTAAGCTTTTTAAAAATCAATCATTTTTTTTTTTGTTACGATCTGTAATATCACTTTAAATACTTTATTAAAATTCTGTATATATGTACTATCAACACGAATTTTCTTTTGATTTCCACCTGCGACGTTCGTACCGATTTCACTTGCTTATTTTGGCAGACAATGATAGTACGCAACTGATTTCTCTTAAAATAAAATTTTTTCATTGATATCCCGTCATTTCTAGGCAAATTTGATTGCTTAATTTTTGTTCACTCCGTTGCACGGTATTCGTTTACAAAAATAAAATAACGTTTCTTTGCATGATCCTAATATCGTTAGTGTGATAATGTCGAGAAATATATTGTATTTTTCAGGTGAAAACCGTGCGTCAGACTAAAGGACTTCAATTTTTCATGTCCGACCCATTATTTCCACTCAAAAAATTCTCTGCATGGTGATATTGTCAAGTTAGCAATATTGTTATGATCGGTTTTATAAAAACCGTGACACGTTTACATGTATGCCAAATTTCATTAAGTGGTAATACGGATATTCATAATCAAGGATTTATTTTTTTGACCTTTTAAAACATTTAGGATATACGATCATTTGAAGTTTTCATCTTAAGATGGACCTGAAACCACCCCCCTAGATATGGACATTAAATTAGGAAACAAACTAAATTGCAGCTACCAATACTTCAAGAGATGAATGCTGACTTTCGAGCCAAAGATTTCATATTTTTTTTTACTGTGGCTATTATAACTAGCAAAATCTGCTCTTCATATCAGTGTTTTGAATATCAAACCTGTTCAGTTTTTGATATTTGTTTCGCAAACAGTAAATGTTTTTCTTTCCTACGCAACAGTTTTAATAGATTTTCCCTTTTATGTTAAGATTACAATTCAATGAACAAATTGGAAAAGAAACTGTATTTAGCTGTCCTCACTTTTTCTTCATATACCACATTCTACAACATTACTATATGCTGCAACACATCTGATAAATACAACATATTGTTCTTTGAGATTCAGTGCATTGTTCTCCTTGTTCTTGATGATGCCACTGAAATATGCTCAGTAGCTGAAGGCTCCATTATTGATAGTGATTTACATCCAAAATGTATAGCCAGCAGTTGAAATACAAATCAAATTCTGTACCTCAGAGCCAGGTTAGGTTAAGTTCATTTTTGCCTAAAATGAGTCTTACATGTTAAGTTCATGATAAAGTTGGGAGTTTTAATTTGATACTTGCAACATCTATCTACCTGTAATGTTGAGTGAATTATGAATGCAATTAAACCATCTTAAAACTACCTATTAGGGCTTAACCCAGTCTGACTTTCAGGTAACTACAATTTTCAACATAATGGGTCTTTTCCGCTTATCTAGTTGTTTGAATTGTTTGGAGTTTGTTTAACAGGAAAGTAATTCCCTTGATGAGTCACAATCTTCTTTAATTTTCCCATTCGTAATTAATTATGGAATTGTCATAAAGTTTTTCTGATTTTGCTTCATGCTGCAACTCTATTCCTCTGTTCACTCTCTGTAACACTTCATTTTTGGTAATCCTACATGACCATGGCATTTTGAGCACCCTTAAATAGCGATGGTCAATAATAGTAATTATGATCTTCACATACACACATTATACATACTTGTGCCTGACACTCTATACAATCTAGAGTCCCACAATGATTTGTGAAAACGCATCTCTGACATCGACAATGCAATAATTGCACTTGCCATACAATGTTTCTTATCCATGGAGGAACCATCTCATACAGTCTGTGAGAATGAATCACACCTGAAAATAAAGCGATAAGTGGATATGGATATGCAATGATTTGTTTTATAACTTACCAACCTCCATCAAGAGAATAGCTTGGTTGTAAGCTTCTGGACTTTCATACACACACATAGTATAGTATAATATAATATATCCATGTGTATTAATTTTACAAACTCAACAATTTCTTGAAGATACCACAGGTTGTGGAATTTGTTCAATGTAGCGAGGTATTTTTGAGTGATCGATAATATTTGCAAGAAGATTATAAATTATGGTTCTGCTTTCCATTGAACGTCAAAACAACAACAGCCAGAACTGTCAGTATGTCGGAAATCAAAAGCAGGACATACATGTACGTTAACGAAGTAGACGTAATATTACCGAAATCAAGGAGGCCATAAACGCGCCCTACAATTGTATGGACGACTGACGATAGGGGCCTTAGCCATACACACCTGTTAGACATAATAAGTCACACATATTTACCCTGCATCTGCAATAGAAATATAAATATGATTCATTTGCTTTATATAGTTTGATATGCAGAGGTCGAAGATTCATTGTACCTAAGTGAACCTAACTAATCTCGATTCTATTTCGCCTTTTGAAACGATTTGACTCATCCCTTCAACGAAGGCGTAGGAAGTATAGAGTCAATCTACTTGACGCCATTTTTTCACTTAAGTATGGTATTGAAGTTAATGAAAACAAGTTAATATGACCTCAATCCGTATATCACTGTTGAAATGACTTATGATGATGATCCTTTTTTATTTCAGCCAAAACCGATAGATGTCAACGTAATATCGCATCACATGCAAAGATATGCAGTATGGTTTGGTGGTAGTATGCTTGCTGGAATGGTATGTTGGAAACATAGAAAAATGTAGTTATTTAGAATTATTTTAGTGTTAAGATCTCCCAGTTTTCTTTTACTGCTAGTATTGCATTGAATGTGCTTAATTATACAGGGTGTCCGCAAAGTTGGGGTTTTCCTTTACACGACGTGTAGATCTTGAAAACATAAGCAATTTTTCTTAGTACGATATACACCAATGTCTTAAGGGAACCGAGATAAAGGGCTCTGCAACATCAAAAATATCTGAATACCGTCCTGTAGCCGCGACATCACCGACTGGTACAAGGTCACTGGCTCAACCCGACGACAGAGCTGGGTTGGGGTCAGTGTGTCAGGTCAGTATGCAACCTTCAACCGACGGTTACGGTCACGCGTGTAGAGGTAATCGCGTAGACGAGAATCCCTCAACAAGCACTAGATACGTGGCTAGAGAAGTGCAAGTATCAAAAACTAACGTGTGGCAAACGCTGCGTGAAGAGGGGCTGTATCCGTTTCACGTCCAACGTGTACAAGCCCTTCAACCTGACGATTTTCCAGCAAGAGTGCGGTTTTGTGAGTGGTTGTTGCATCAACATGACAATAATCCGGACTTTTTGAAGTACATATTGGTGACAGACGAATCTACGTTCACGCGTAATGGGGTGAATAACTTTCGCAACACTCATGTGTGGTCAGTAGAAAATCCGCACGCTGTCCGTCGGGCACATTTTCAACAAACATTTTCGGTGAATGTTTGGGCTGGCATGGTGAACGGTATGGTATGCTCATTGGACCATTTATTCTCCCAAATCGATTGGACGGGATGCAATACCTAGACTTTTTACGCAACATTTTGCCTTCCTTGTTAGAAGATGTGCCATTAAGTGTAAGACAATCAATGTGGTTTCTGCGTCTGCTCGGTAGCGCATCAGCTGATTTCATTTTCTGTTGGAGCGGTATGATTTCGGGCAGAGACGTACTTAGCCCTTCTCGTCAACTGGAGAGTCAGTACTTTTTCCTTTATTTTTTTTACTTGGTCGCCCTCGTTTCACTACACATTACCTTTGTTATTTCAAGGGTTGTTGTTTCTGAAAAGTAAAACCCCAACTTCGCGGACATATTGAAAATAGGCCAAGTGGATGCTGAGACGCAGGCTAATGCAGTATCGGCGGAGAAAAAGGCCAAAAACAAGAAAAAGAACAAAAACAGCTCAAACTTCGTTTTTTTGACGTTTTAGACCGACCCTGATCATTTTCGGAAATAAATTGGTGGTTAACGGTTGCAGTCAAGGGGAGTACGAAGATCATTTAATTTTTTGTTTTACATGTTCGTACATAACTTTTTTTCTTAGAAGGGTTAACTTGTGTCACACATAATCCTTTAGGCTGGAAATAGTGATGGAGCGACGGTTAGCGCTGATGGTACGTCCTGACGTTACCCCGACATAAGGCCAAACAACTCAGCTGCAAAAAGGCTGTGACGTCACGCTGAGTAGGCCAGTTCATATTCTTATGGCGTTTCGCCATGCTGTCTGGTAAGAGCGGTGTTGACATATCCAAGTATGATATACCAGTATCGAAATCTCTTCTAATTAGTTATACCTCTCTGTGGGCGACTTTTGCAAGATATACTCGGGGCCTGCACAGCTTCAATGATGATCTTATTATTCTTTGTGATCTGCCTCAGTATGTCAAGAATACAGTGTCGATATTACGTTCAATCTGTCACGTGTAAAGTCTAACATGTCTGCAAAAATGGAATATGTGGCAACATAGCAGCTAACCTCAAATTCTGGTGCTGTTATCATGTATGGATATTTATGTTTATTATTGTTGCTTTAAACTTATATTTGTGTCTCGCAATTGTTTCCCTAAGTTTTCAACATGCCTTACAAGTGCCGCGTTCCGTATTGTGCCGGTAATTACGCGAAAGGTCCGAAGGTTCCGTTCTCCGTTAATTAAAAAGGGGCGCATAAGATGGCTCAATGCCATTCCTGGTAGTGATTTGGTGATTACAAAAAATACCAGAGTAGGTTTGTACTTTGCTGAGGACAGCATCATGTGGGAATCACCAATTGCCCAAAATACTTTTCAAATGACATCTGAAGCAGAAGAAGCCGAAATGAAAATTGAGGGACAAGGAAGTGAATAACTGCAAAATAGCATTGATAAGTATACCTCCTAACAAAAATCAACAAGTTTTCAAAATTATTCAGACATTCGCAGTTTTCAGTATGGCAATCTCCAGATGAGTGGCATAAAGTTGTTCAGGATAAAGTTCGAATATAAACCAGTTATTATAACACACTCTGTAATTGTTGATAAAGATCTGGATGTAAAATGTACTCCCAAGAACTGACACTCAACTCGGGTAATATTAATGACTCCATTCTTAGACACAGTTACCCGTCAAAAAACAATATTGTTTGGCTCTATGTTGTATACAATCAGTCCATATATATATATATATATATATTAGGAGTCATGTAGGACTTATTTTACCACACAAAAATACTCTGAAGTCAATTTGTAATACATTGATGGTCGATCCAGTTCCAGATTAGAGACATGACTTTTCAGGCTATGTAAAGAACCTTTTCAGATATGTAAAAGCAGTTGAGGAGAATATGATTTTAATGATGGATGAAATACACATTCAGCCATGTTTAGATTTCAAAGGAACATGGATTAATAATGCTTCATTAGCTACAAGCTGGTTTTTAATTCAGCCAATTATTGCGGATGCACTGTATCAAAAATGAGGAAAAGACGTTTTTATCCAACGGATAAACTATGCTTGCATCCGGAGAAAAATGTGTCATCGCTTTACTATTCAGTGCATTATCACAACACAAAAAAATTTGTAACCTGTTTCCTCTAATCCAATAATAAGTTAGTAGATGTCTTATGGGGATTCGGTCTCAAAACTTCCAAAATCCGCCACCAGAGGCGCTGGCGTCGCGCGCCATTGACAGGTTGTTGGACGGAATCTGTAATCGAAATTCATGAGTTGGGGATTCCGCCGCTAGATGGCGCTGTCAAACCAAACGGAATCTGTGTGTCATTGGACACCTGTCATGCGTCATTGGGCATCTCACGCATAGATGGCGTTACACGTCATCTGTTATACGTCATTGGACACCTGTCATTGAGGGGTTGGGCATCTCGCGCATAGATGGCGCCGATTTGTTTGGCGCTGTACAAACCAAACGGAATCTATGTGTCATTGGACAGCTGCCATTGATGGGTTGGGCATCTCGCGCATAGATGGCGCCGATTTGTTTGGCGCTGTACAAACCAAACGGAATCTATGTGTCATTGGACAGCTGCCATTGATGGGTTGGGCATCTCGCGCATAGATGGCCAGATGTCGCACCTGTCTGGTGTTGGCGTGGATTACGAGGGGCATTCAGAACGTGTATACAGGGGTGCATCGAAAAATAGCGGATCGATGGACCGACGGTATATCGTTAAATCGTATATAGCAAGGCGTGACCTAAATAGCGTGGTGGGCTCCTCTGGTCGGTCGGTCGGTCGGTCAGAATGTCTCATAACCTGTATACGATGTACTGTTATTATTATACAGGATGATACCGTTCAAAATGAAACTTTATGTAGTAGAATGATGGTGGGGGGGGGGTGGGGAGTCGAAGGAACCGACTGTTTTTTTTTTGTTTGACAACAGGCTGAATACGAAATAAACATAGCTTTCTGAAAAATGTATTTTTTAATGATATACAGATACAAGTTTAGATAACAGAGTTTTTAGTTGATGTAACAAATCCTCGCTGGGGCATGGTACTCCAAATAGAGTCCAATGAAATGGTCCGGTCGCAACAACTTTTCTTGTAAATTCATTAAATTTATAGTAAGTTGCGTGACGGAAAAAGTAAATATGGCCATCAATCCATCGAAATGCGAGAGAAATATCTTCAGGTAACCCAGGAAATATGTCTCTTATCCGTCCTCTGTTCAACACATCAGTAAAATCGTTAGAAAATTCTATATATGACATATTATTATAAAAGGTATAGGACCGTCCTGCGTTTGATTGAAAAATAGCATTGATTCGAGCCCTATCGGGTATATCAATTGAAAAATTATCAAGAAATTTAATGGTAGGGAATGATGCTGAGAAATATTTGTTTGGAGACACAATGGTAATCAAGTCACCGTTTGTTGATTGGAAAATATGTTGTAAAGTGTATTGACGTAATTCTGTAGGAACATAATCGACAAGAAGTTCAGGCTGAGATGGGATAATCATTTCGTTTAAGTCTAGTTTCCATATAAACATATCATGTGCAATATATAATCGGTAATTTGAAAACTCTGGAGCAATAGCTAAAAACATAAAATCTGGAATAATATCACACAAATTTTTGAGGATCGGCTGCTTACGAGTTGTAGATCTTATAGTTGTTGTTGTTTTTGGTATTGCTGATGCGGTGGTAGACGTTGGGATTGAATCATATTTGTTTTTTCTTCCATATAGATATTGTACTGCATTTATATCATCAACATCTAGACCACGAATCTCATGCTGATAGAAGGCAAACATAATAGCATTCGGAGAAGCACTATGTGCTATGCCGAGGGCATGTCCAATTTCATGAACCAACACCATAAGAAAACTAGTTTGATTTTTGGGTATATTAGGATTATTTCCAAAATACCAGCGTTCATTTATATCTAAATGGATTTCTCTACAGGTGCCGCTAGAGTCAGGAAAGTATGCATGTCCTAAAACGCCGCCAGCATCATCTAATGTCAATGGACATTCATCATTACCCATACAGTTTGCGCTAAAATAATGAGTCTTGCTAACCATGGTTATAGTAATATCAGGAGGATATAGAGTGGGATTGGTAACCATTGTAAATGTTAAGTTTGAAACATTTTGCCACATCTGAAAAGCCATTTCTGCATCTTTTTGGGCCGCAGGTGTGTTTCGAGGGAAATACCATTTCAGGTCATGTTTCCGAAATGGAAAACTTGCTCTAAATTCAGCATCACTGTATTGACAACGCGGACGATTCATAAATTCAATTGT